TGAATTCTGGGAGCTGATGCTGATGCTTAACAGTAATAAATGACAGGAAAAGACTGTCCCGTTCCAATTCCCTGAAATCCAGACCCAAAACATCTTTAAGATATTCAAATTTCTGCTAGCGTCTCTAAGGGAATTCGAATAGTATGGTAGCGCTAAGCTAACGCTGGTTCACATGAACATTTTTGGCCATCATTTGAAATTTGAAAAAGACGTTTTATGTGTTTTATTCCAAGCTTGTAACAGACATTAACATATAGTCTACCTCTTTCAATTAAGAGTCCTGGCATAGAGCTGCCGCTGCTGTTTTCCACTCCTAACAACTACATGAAACCTGGTTAGACTACGGCTTGTGTTCACAGTCAGTGGTGTATCTAGACCTTCCAGGGACCTAGATATGCACTATATAGACAAACGTATTGGGACACACCTCCTAATTACTGAGTTCAGGTGTTTCAGACACACCCATTGCTAACAGGTGGATACAATTAAGCCCATATTAATGAGCTCAGTGACTTTTCTGTTCCAGCATGACTGAACCCCAGTGCACAAAGCAAGCTCAATAAAGGCATGGCTGGGTGAGTTTGGTGCTAAAGAACTTGACTGGCCCTCACAGAGCCCTGACCTATATATATAACATGTCCAGCACCTCTAGGCCTAAACAATGGGAAAGTTTGCTTGGCTGTATCTGCCTAGATGCTACAGGGAAACGTCTGTTGAGTGTTTCAAGATCTAAGCTCTTTTGTTTCCAAACAAAGCTATTAAACTATTAAAGACAAATGAATTAAAAATTACAGGCAGAAATCATTAGCCCCTCTCTGAAGGCCTGGAAGGCCTTGAGGGTTCCTCACTGCTGAAAACTCTAAAATAGGATTTCATGAAAAGCAGGTTTTGTAAAAGAACTAATGAACAGAAGATTTAATGTACTTTTCACATGTATAAGAGGTGGAGTCAGTAGGTTGTGTTGTGTGTAGTACTGCAGTTATCTGCAGAGTTTAGTGTTTACAATAGTTACTGCAATTTAAATGTTACAGAATTAAATGTCTTGCAGTTCAATACTGTATATTTACATCACACCTCAGTTAAAGTTTCACATTTGTTTAGAAAAAATGTAATTGATATATGTTTGATGTCTGAAGTTTACTTGTTTAATTTTGCACTGGAGCTACAAGGCTAGCACAAGTAATGGAAGCTTATAACCCCACCAATTAGCACGCCTAAATCATCACACACTTGCCTCAAATGATGTGGAGTTATTGAGTAATAACACCACACTGCACTGATAGTCTCTGGGCAAGACTGCTTACACTGCATTCACTTACATTTGTAACATGATAAAAATGATAAGTGTAAGTGATCTCTAATAGACTCTAATATACATAGAAATAGGGCCAAAGGATGGCTAACACTAACTGCACCTAGGGATGCGAATGATTTTGTGATGGAGGGATGATGGTGGGTGGAAGTGTAAGGCAGGTGTTTCTAATAAAATGGATGGAGAGTGGAAGTGTAAGGTAGGTGTTTCTAATAAAGTGGACAGAGAGTGGAGGTGTAAGGTAGGTGTGTCTAATAAAGTGGACAGGGAGTGGAAGTGTAAGGTAGGTGTGTCTAATAAAGTGGGCAGTGAGTGGAAGTGTAAGGCACGTGTTTCTAATAAAGTGGACAGTGAATGGAAGTGTAAGGTAGGTGTTTCTAATAAAGTGGCCAGAGAGTGGAAGTGCCAGGTAGGTGTTTCTAATAAAGGGGCCAGAGAGTGGAAGTGTAAGGCACGTGTTTCTAATAAAGTGGCGAGAGAGTGGAAGTGTAAGGCACGTGTTTCTAATAAAGTGGCCAGAGAGTGGAAGTGTAAGGCACGTGTTTCTAATAAAGTGGACAGTGATTGGAAGTGTAAGATAGGTGTTTCTAATAAAGTGGCCAGAGAGTGGAAGTGGAAGGCAGGTGTTTCTAATAAAGTGGACAGTGAATGGAAGTGTCAAGTAGGTGTTTCTAATAAAGTGGCCAGAGAGTGGAAGTATAAGGTAGGTGTTTCTAATAAAGTGGCCAGAGAGTGGAGGTGTAAGGCAGGTGTTTCTAATAAAGTGGACAGTGATTGGAAGTGTAAGGTAGGTGTTTCTAATAAAGTGGCCAGAGAGTGGAAGTGTAAGGTAGGTGTTTCTAATAAAGTGGCCAGAGAGTGGAAGTGTAAGGCAGGTGTTTCTAATAAAGTGGCCAGAGAGTGGAAGTGTAAGGCACGTGTTTCTAATAAAGTGGACAGTGAATGGAAGTGTAAGGTAGGTGTTTCTAATAAAGTGGCCAGAGAGTGGAAGTGCCAGGTAGGTGTGTCTAATAAAGTGGCCAGAGAGTGGAAGTGTAAGGCAGGTGTTTCTAATAAAGTGGACAGTTAGCGCACTGCTAGTAGACTTATGGTTTAGTCTGTCATATTGATCATGGAATGCAAATTCCAAATACAACAGCGCCCTCTGCTGGTCCATACTAGTTTTACTGGGGCCTGAAGAGCATAAACAGGAGCTCACTGCAGATCCGTTGGCAGATTCGTTTAAAGATTAATGGACTTCCTTAACAAATGTTACCACGTTTATGAGTCCCAGTTTGAGCTTTTTATTTAGGTTAAATTTAGCCACGTAAGCAAAACATAAGTGTTTTACGCACAGGCCTCACAGACTGCAGTATGTACACTATAATGACGAACAATATTAACCACAGAACTGTTCACACCTTTGTGCTCTGGAGTGTGTATAGATTCTGTTCTTACCTAAGAGCAAATCCCAAAAACACTGGTAAATGTCAGAATCTACACAGAAACTGAGCAAGTGGGTTTTAAGTAGAGATTTCTTCTTAAAAACGGTTGGTGAATGAGGCCCAGTGACTGCAAAGGTGAAACTGTAATGCCTGTTTTTACATCCTGCATGAGACAGGATATGTTTGCCTATATTTACTTAATGATTATGAAACTCATAGTTGGTTTTTAAATAGTTCCTGCTGACAATAAGCGAAGGAACTTTTGTTTAGCAGTTACGCATGTTCAGCAGTTTGTTGGTGATATTAACTTTATTTACAGATTTTTGTCTGTATCTTGTTCTTGTATGAGGTGCTCCTTGCAGGATCTTACCTTGAACCTTCATGTAGATTCATATCAGGATCATAAGCCTAATTCCTTTAGGGCCGAGTTCCCAGACAGATTAGGCTGCATTACACAGGCAGCAGGATGTCTACTCTAAATAAACTCTCTACTCGACTTAATTTTTACTTTAATTTGTTTATTTAACAGAGACATTATACACCGATCTTCATCATCATTGTTTCATGAGGTAAATGTGCCAAATTTGGCTAAATTTAATCTGCTGCTTCTGGGACAGGTTGATGTTGGTATTAAATATGTAAACAGTGCTTCACACATAGGCAGAAAACCAAAGCAGCTTTAAAGGCTGTGAGTTACTGAGCACATAAACATAATGTGGCGTACTATTTGACACCTGTTTGTTTACGAATACAAAACATATCATATGACTAAGTGTCATACACACACACACACACATGTATATATCGACCTTGTTTCTCCAAAAACTGAACTTTACAGGACAAGAAAAAACTTTTAATGGAAGGAAATGGAGAAAAAAAAAAATATATATATATATATACATATATAATTGCATTTTGTTGTAAACTGGGTCCTCATGAGGGTTAACACAGTATTACAACTACAATCACAGCACTACGAACATAAAACACAAAGGTGAATATATTTTAATGGGAACAATTACCGTCTCACTTTTATGTATTTTATGTTTTATATTTATTTTACATATATGACATATATATATATATAAGTATATATTACATTTTTATATGTCATATCTCTAGATGTAGAGGGGATAAGGCCTATAAAACGAGCAGAGGACGCTCCTTTAAGAACAATAGTTTGACCTTGAACACAAAATATAAAGATCTTTTAAAAGGAACAGAAAACATGTTTTATGCATGATTTATCTGTCACATATGTAGATATTTATTTCAAAATACCTGAAAAACGAGTATAAAAAAAGCTCCACAAATACATTGACGTAGAAGGGAGGGCCCTTAAAGGGGAATTCTGACAATTTTGAGATGTTTTGATGAAATGGTTCATTGTAGGGAAACGTACTGATGCTTTACAGCAGTCGCAGTGTCTGCAATACAAATATAGCCATTTTATTTACTATCCAAAACCACCAGTGAACCTACATGTGCCTTCTAAGTTTTTATATATAATGTTGATAATGGCAAATAGTCATAAATCTGAATTCTTTGGGGACTATTTTGCTTTAGAGTGCCCTGCATCTGCCCCTCTGCCACAAATAGTTAAAAAATAAATGTTTCAAGATACATTTTAAGCCAAAACTTTATCACAAAACTATCACTGAACAGTGTGACAAATATCAGGCAGCACATATTAAACTATTTCATGTAATATTGGGGGCAGTCATCGACTGGAGGTTAGGGAACCGGCCTTGTAACCGGAAGGTCGCCGGTTCAATCCCCAGATCTGACAGCACGTGACTGAGGTGTCCTTGAGCAAGACACCTAACCCCCAACGGCTCCCTGGGCGGTGCGGATAGGGCTGCCCACCGCTCCGGGCAAGTGTGCTCACTGCCCCCTAGTGTGTGTGCTCACTAGTGTGTATGTGGTGTTTCACTTTATGGATGGGTTAAAAGTGGAGGTGAAATTTCCCTGTTGTGGGACTAATAATGGTCACTTAATCTTAATCTAATCTAATTAATATTCAGTGAGGGAGCTGTCAGAGGTATTAAACTCTTCAGACATCTGTCTCCTATCACCACCACTGTAAATAATTCTGACTCTGTCAGTTCCTCAAAAACTGAGTATTTCACACCAAACCACCCTGAATGGCTTTGTTAACATCTCAACCATTTAACTATCTAGAATTTTTGAAAAATCGGTGGCGTTCCCCTGTAACGTTGACAAGCGCTTTCTCCGTGGGCCGCTAGGCGTCGCCGTAGAGCAGCTAAAGGCTAAAGCTAAAACGCGAACCTATGTGTCCGAACTAACTGGCTAAGCTAAGCTAACGCTGGGTTTGAAGATGTGTAAATCATCGAGTTATGATGACTAGAAACCTGCAAGAGGCCAAATCATGGACGTTTTAAACAAACTGACGACTCTCTTCCAGCAGGCACTGGAGACAGTGAGTAAAACCTCGACTTTACTGCGAGTTTCTGGGCTGAGTTCGCGCTAAGTTAGCAGCTTCTGCATAGAAAACAACTAGATTTGGGTCAGTCAGCTGTTAGCATTAGCATTAGCAAACTCAGTAAACAACACTTAACGAGTCAAAACAAACTTCGTATGTTCTCTATACACCCTAGAAAAGCCAGAAAAGCATCAATAATGAACTGTCATTTCGGGCAACACCTTATAAAGACTTAAAATGATGTGCATTAGCTTGATGGTTAAATAGCTTCTGGCTAAGAAATGCAAAACTTTCCCCCTGTTGCTTTCAGGACGTTTCTATTAGACCTATGAGATGTTTTAAGCTTTATTAGACTTAAATGCTGGCACATGACTTAAAAGTTTCTTTTTTTGTTACACAAGTGGGTTATGAGCGTAAAAAGTACACTTTAAAAGTGTTGGAAGGTCTGATACTTTAGGGAAAAACTAATTGGCTTCTTTTTCCTCAGCTTTTTAGTCAAATTGTCCGGTCCACCTTAAATTGTACCGTTTAAATGATGCCTTTTAAGGTGGAACTGGTCCAGTGAGACTCTAGCTTCAGCGACGTGACACAATTAGAAGCAAAATAGCTACCAAAATGCAACTTGAGTGGAAAGATATCAGGTCCAAACACAGGTACTGAGTACAGTGTTGACCTGCAGTGGAGCCTCTTAGTACATCCAGCATCTATCAGACTGAGAACTGAACTGTGTTCTGCTTTATTATTTGTCTTGTTTTTTGGGATCCTTTCAGTCTTTCTGTCATTAATATCAAAATCAATCAATATGAAGTTTATACTAATAAATACTAATTTAATCCATTACTGCTCATCTGTGTTCCTCGCTCTGTGTAGGTGATTCGGAGCTTTAATCTCTGTGGGGATCAGTAGCTGTGCTGACTTTCCCCTCAGGCCGGAAAAAAGCACTGCATTCCTGCAGGTTTAATCAAGTCCTGCAAGTCTGAGCAGGACAGTGGATACAGCTTTAGATTAGATTTAGTCATTTTGAAATGCTTAAAATGAAGTGCTGATTATTCCACTGGTCAGTCAGCAATGTTGGGGTGAATCACTGTTTATAAATCAAATTTGGATCACTGCTGTCATGTGCAGGTTATAACTGTACTGTGTCAGGTCTAGACTTAATTAGATTTTTCTTTGCAGCATCTGTGATCTTTGCCTGTTTTGTGTCTGTTTCAGAGGGAGCCATCTATCAATCTGCTAGATTCTTTTGTCGATCACTGGAAAGGAATTACCAACTATTACATAGAAACTACAGGTAAACACTTGAGACGACGTGACAGTTATTTTAGGACTCTGTTCACATTGCCGGGTTAAAGTGGCAGAAATCCGATGTTTTTGCCCTAATGTGACTCAGATCCGATGTTATCAGAGCTGTGTGGGCACACACATCTGATCGGAATTCATGTGCTTTTTTTTTGCACTGTGTGTGACCATCATTCAGCGTTACCATGGCAGCAGCGCCGAACAGAAGTTAAAGCCTGTAAACGGTGGAAAAGCAGCTCATCTCACCTTTTTCTCCTTCGTCTCGCTCTAATAATGAAGCTGAGAGCTGATCAGAGCTAATTATCTTCACAGCGAAGCTCGTTCTGCTCGTTAGTTTGTGCTGATGATGCTCAGACATTACTGAGTAGGATGAGCTCATGAGGGTCATTTTAGGACGCCGGTTCGTCACATTAATGACAGATTTGAATCACTTACCTAAACGAGTGTGAACCATCATGTCAGAGAGATCGGATTTGAGCACAAAATCTGATTTGAGCTCTGGGGTTTGTGATGTGAACGTAGCCTAGGAGGTCTATGAATTTGAATACAAACTCCAAAATAAGTGTTTCTAATAAACATTGAAGCAGTTTTTTTTTCAGTTTTAGATAAACACACTCTTTTGGAAATGCCTGCTATTTCTATTTACTTTTAAAGGCTACTGAATTTTTTTTATTTTGTTTTTTCATTGTTATATTGTTTATTCTGTGCAAAGCAATCGTGAACCCAGAGAGCTGCTATAGAAATAATTTATCATTATTATTATTATTATTAGTAGTAGTACTAGTAGTAGCAGCATATAAAGAAGAAAAATTGTTTGTTTCTTTCGTTCGCTTGCAAAGTATCTAAAGTTTGTTTGAAGTCAGTGTGAATAGGAAATCAGAACACATTTTCCTCCATGCTGTGATGTATTTCCAAGTGAAACATCATATCAGGGAGGGTCTCTGAGCTAGCTGAGCATTTTCTCTTGGTAATGGGTGGGGAGGCTGGGAAACGTGATATTACTAGTTAATATTATTTGTCCCTGCCCGCTGGTGCAGAGTGATGTAATCAGAAAACAGAAGCTGTTTTAGAGGCGGGGCTAAAGTCACTGCTTTTTCATGGAAGAACAAGAATTTTGTATTTTAAATGATATGATGATGTCACTTCTGATTTTTTGGTTAACTTCTGATCTGTATTGCATTTTGAGCATGTTTGAGTATAAATGAGAGTAGAGCTGTCTGAACGGTCTTCTTCTGCACTGTGTAGATGAGACTCGGCCAGTGAAGCAGACAGACATCCCATGGAGGCTGAAACAGATGCTGGATATCCTAGTGTACGAGGAGAAGCAGCAGGAGGTGGAGGAGACTGGAGCCTGCATGGAGTACCTGCTCCAGCACAAAATACTGGAGACGCTCTGCACGCTGGGAAAGGCACAGGTAACGCACACTCTGTTAGACAGACAGCCAGGGTGTAAATCTACAACCTCAAACGATTCAATCTGATTAAGATCTTTTTTATTATTTAGTCCAACATGAAATATCAGATTTCAGCACAAAAACATCATCATGATGATACATTGATGTGTTTTTCCACCCCACTGGGAGCTTAATAGGCCTGATTAGACCCTGAAGAGCTGAAAACTCATCAAAAAGTCACCTGCATGTTCTCTTTTTTTGTGCAGTATCCTCCTGGAATGAGCCAGCAGGTCCTGCTCTTCTTCTCGAAGGTCCTGACGCAGATTCAGAAGCCTGTGCTCCATATAATCAATGTGTATCGACCTGTACAGGTGAGAGAGACAATGGGACTCATCTGTAGTGCTGTTACTGAGTAACGGTGCTAATGTTATTGAATAGACACAATAAACTATTAGACAGCTCTACATGTTAATGTCTGCCAAAAAACACACTGCTGGATTATTTTGGAAAACATAAAAGCTCAATCTTTTCCCAGCAAGATCAGGTTATTTGGTTGCTTTAGCTTGTACTGTAATAAAAGTGTCTGCTGCAATAAAAAAGTCTTGGGTGTGTTGGGTGGAGGCAAATAAGTGTAAATAAAAGAAAGCGGTTAAAGCATTGCTTGAGATTTCATGGGCTTATGAGAGCAAAACACGTCTAACTTCTAACTTGGTGCTCTAACATGTTTAGAGAGCCTCACTGTGTAATGTCTGTTTATTTGTTAGCTATATAGCTAATTCTACCATCAGTTTCTCAAAGAACTTGTAGCTTTACTTAACCCTACATATAGTTTTGTGTAGCTGTTGACATTTGTGTGAGTGTGTGTGCTCATATTGATTCGACAGCACAGCCAATGTTGGTGTCTAAGTAAACACAGCTGTCAAGTAAGGTGGCTAATAAGCCAGTTTGGCCACTTTCAGGCCTGTACTTTAATAGTTGCAACCAATGAAGAAGAAAAGACAATTAAATCTTAATTACAATGGCAGGTCAAAGGTCTTACAAAAAACAATGAAAGGTATATCTTTTAACTCTGATCTTTAGGTCTGTATTTTAATAGGCTTATACTTTAATAGTTGCATACAGTAAACGAAAAAAAACACAATTGCATTGCTATTTTTAAGTTAGTATTAGTTGGTATTGGCACATAATAGTCATCTTAAATTTCATGATCGGGAGAGTTTCCGTAAGCCGTTCTGTGTATCAGCCTTTTTGATTTTTTTTTCTTTTTTATTTTGGTCTGTTTTCACACTGCAGAAGCTGATTCGTCTGTGTGGACTCCCGAACTCCCAGACAGAGAAAGAGGAGGCCCAGTTTTTGTTTGCTGTTTGTTCTCGAGTGAAGAAAGACCCATATGTCCTTAATTACATCTTAGAGGTGTGTGATTTCATTGTACTGTATAACAGCAAAACTCTTTTTGTCCATGCCCTTGGAGGCATTTGAGCTTCTTTTGTCCCATTTGTATTGTCCTTTTGTGTTTGTCTTTATGCTAATCTTTTTATGTATTTTAGAATCATATAATTATAGTTTTTCCTTGAATCACTTAGCAATTCTGTTTGAAAAAGGGTGCTGTACAAACAAAATGTTGAATTTTAGTAGGTAAATGAATATTAACTCACCCATACCACAGACGACCAAAGAAGGCCAGCCTCAGAGGTCCAGCTCTGTCTCAGAGGACAGTATAGAAGAAGGTTCCAGTGGTGCTTCCAGTCCAGAGAGTCCTCCCTCTACCCCCCTGAACAGCTCCTCCCAGCCAGGCATCATCCAAGTCCTCACTCATCTGGGGAAGAACCAGGTAAACCCCTGCTGTTTGTTTTAAGGGCTGTTTCAGTTTTTCTAAAGAGATGGACATCATTTCAGCTAGAATGACATGTTTTTGGGCCTGAAGATTCAAAACAACAAAGCCACATGCAGCTATGGAGAAATACAGTCCGTTCGTACGGGTGGACAGGTGTGTTGTAATGACATTTGCACAACACACATTGTTTAGTTTTTCTAGGATAGTAAACAAGATGGAACTGACCAAGCAAACAAAGCCACATTGAAAGAATGCTAGAAAAGCTATGTTTATAACTCTTTTATGACTCTTTACTCAGTTATTTATAAAGGAGCAGGAAGATCAACTCATTTGATACATTGATCAAAATAACAGAATAATGGTGCAATGGTCCAATCAGCTACTTGTTACTATGTAGTTTGTGCAGTTACTTCACATTGGTTGTTGTTGTTAACAGGCTCTCTATAATTGTTCTATTATAATCTGTGCAGTGTTCTAGCAGTATTGACAATACCTGTAATACACAAAGGTAATGGGATAGCAGTGTGTAAATTGGTCATGAGCTGCCGTTACCTCAGGGGACGGCTTGGGAACGCCCACACCTGTCTAAGTTGTGAGGTGTTATCTTGTGAGTGAGGTTGAGCGCTGGTCAACGTGCTCATGGCAAGGCGTCGTGACTCATCGGAGTTCGAACGAGGCATGATAGTGGGTGCCAGACAGATGGGACGTTCTGTTTCCAAAGTTGAGTGGGCATTTAACATTCCTGGATCCACAGTGTCACATCATAAAAGGCATTACCACCCACAGTGGACAGCGCAGTGGCCGCCCATGGGTGCTTAATGATCGTGACCGGTGGCATCTGGCTAGAATTGTCCATGTGAACAGACAAATGACTCAGGCAAAAATCACATCTACGGGCTCCCGAGTGGCGCAACCGTCTAAGCGTTGGCCCTGTCATCAGGAGATCGTGAGTTCGATCACTGGTGATGCTACAGCCATCCGTAGCCAGGAGTCCGAGAGAGCACAATTGGCCTCGCTCTCTCTGGGTGGGTGGGATGGCTGCCCTTCTCCCCCCAGCACTCACCCAGCGCGATGCTAGTCAGCGCAGGCGTCTGTTAGCTGACGTAAACAGAAGACCCACCAGAGTGCCTCTGTTTACACCACAGCACCGGACACAGTGCCTCACCTGGGCTCGTGAGGTTGCTAACTGGATCCTAGAGGACTGAAAACATATGGAGATGAGTCACGGTACCAGTTGTTTTGAGCTGATGGTAGGGTTCATGTGTGGCGCAGACCCCATGAAGCCATGGACCCCGGTGGTCAACAAGGCACTGTACAGGCTGGTGGTGGTTCCATACTGGTGCAGGGTGTGTTCTCATGGCATGGGTTGGGTCCACTGGTCTGCCTGAACAAGTCATTGAGCAGTGACAGCTATGTTTCACTGCTTGATGACCATTTGCAGCCCTTCATTGACTTATTGTACTGCCACAGTGATGGGATATTCCAGCAGGATAACGCCCCGTGACATTGGGCCCAAGTTGTCCAGAATTAATCCGAGGGGCATTCTGGAGAGTTCAGAGGAATGATGTGGCCTGCACCTTCGTCTGACATGAGCCCAATCGGGCATTTATGGGATGTGGTGGAGAGGTCCATTCACACCCGAGATCCTGCACCTACAAATACCACGGAGCTGTGGGTGGCTATCCAGACAGCATGGCTCAACATCCCTCCAGACGTCTTCCGTGCACTTGTGAAATCAATGCCATGTTGAGTTGCTGCACTTGGCTGGGCTAGAGGGAGTCATACACGATACTAGTTTTTGTCCCATGACCTTTGGCCTGTCAGTGTATACTCTGAAAAACACAATGGTACAGTTTTATGATCATAATAAAACACAAAAAATATTGCCCATACAGTTGGTCATCACATAGTTTCTTGTTGGTAAGCTGACTTGTTGTAAACTTTGTCAAACCTTTGCCTTTTTAATGTTTTTACTTCTTTTAAAGACCTATTACAGCTCTTCTGTATGATAAAGTATTTATGTTTGGACAGAAAAGAGTTGAGCAAAGTGTTTTCGTGGTGTTTGTGTTTCAGAAGAGCCGCGTTGCCCTGCGGGCGATGGAGAGCGTGCTGCTCCTGATGAGTATCCCTGAGGAGAAGACGGCCAGCCTGCTTGCAGAGGAAACTCCGCTGTGTGCCCTGCTGGCACAGAGACTGTGCGAACTCTACAGCACCATCCCCACCACCCTCCACCCTGCAGACCTGCACAGCTACCCCCTCAAACAGTGGAGGTAGGTGGGGTGTGTTTGTGTGACTGTGGCCTAGCTGGGATGGGGGGCACCAAGGTCCAGCGCAACATGTAAACCCAGCCTGACTGTTTGTGCAGGAGCAACTTAAGCTGAGCTGTTCCTATAGGCTACTTGCTGGCAGGCGTAGTAGTTGTCTTTGTCAATTGCAAGTAACCACTACTACAATTCTGTCTTTTTTAAAGGCAAAACAATTAGAAAATCGCAGCCTTTAACTGTTCACCATTAACATTTACCCATAGAAACATCTATGAGGTACGCCAGTCAGTGGTTGTCATCCTCATTATAGAGATGTCTCAGGAACATTATGGTCGACAGCTGTGCCTGCCTTGCCTGTAACCAGGCCCCTCCTGAAAAAAAATGACATTTATTAATTTCCTTGTTTTGACAGTTCTCCAGACTGTTCGGAGGAGAGTCCTTCGTTCCCAGCTCAGGAACACGTAGACAAGTTCTTCTCCTGGCTAGACTACTGTGACCAGCTCATTAAAGAAGCACCAAAGGTAATTATTATATGAAACTAATGAAACATGACTATCATATCATATCAAACATAGGTGAGGTTTACACTGGATACACGTTTTTTGAGGAGGTCTCCGGAAGCTAAAGTTAAAATATGTAAACTAAAGCAGCTCGCAGCCTTTGTTGAGCATTTTGTCTGTGTTGACCAATCATATCAAAAGTGATTTTGGCTTTCAGTTGCAATCATTGATTACCCCACATCAAAATTAGCACAGTAGAAGTAAATAGCTGCTTTTTAATGTTTCGCTTGTTTTACTAGCAGCTCCAGCTTGTTAATAGTAGATAAGGACTAAAATTGCACCAGTGTGGATCCCCCTTTACTGTTAGGCATGTATACTTTTGGATGAAGAATGTCTTTAACCATGCAACGTATGTTTATTTCATTTGGTTAAGAGTGGTCATTGATGTGCTACAGGCTGCTTGCTGTTGTCTTCTTTTTATGAGGTATTCCTAAGTAAACAGTAGGTGCAGAGTGTAATTTAGATCTTGGCATGTTCATACATCTCACACGCATTCCCTCTCTCTCTCTGTCTCTGTATGTCTCTCTGTGTTTTGGGCAGGTGCTTGCTGTTGAACTTGCCAAAGCTATTCACCAGCAGTGGCTTATAGGATTCCTTCAACCTCAGCTGCTACAGATGTGAGTTAGCTATTTAAAGCTGCACTTTGCAAGATTTTTTGTTAAAAACACACAAATTTGAAAGGCCTGAAATAGTAATTTAAAAGTGTTTAGTTGGATATGACAGGAGCTTTTTGGACCACGTCATACATCTTTATTTATTAAAGTCACATTAAAGTCAGGCTCTTTTTAGGTCTTAAATGCAAAATCCACATTATACATGTTGTGTGCAGTTATGCATTTCGAGCAGAGAGGTCCCCAAATTTTACATAGTGCAGCTACATTTTTTTTTTTTTGGGGGGGGGGTAGTAATGTGTAAAAGGTGTAATTTTAGGGCTGTCACAATTGATTGTATCAGTAATCCAGTAATTACTGAGGTATTTTGACCATTTTGACCTTTTTTAAAAAGCCTCTGTTTCTTACTGCAAGAGAAAACAGTAGGAATTTAAATCACTGATATTTGTAAATTTGCAGTAAGTTGTCAGGCGTTATTTAACTTGACAATGCACAAATACCATAGCAACTCTCTAACAGTTCCAGAAAACTGTGACTGTAACACTGTTACTGGAGCTTTGATTTATGACTTGCCGTGATTTCCGTTTTCCTCTTGTGTGTGGTGGTACAGGTCGGAGGTTGGGGTCCTGGTCCACACTGCTCTGCTGTCGTGCTCCGTGCGCCACGTTCACTCCCCGGCTCTGCTGCGGGAGCTAGTGCACTTTCTGCTGGGCAGCGACACACACCACGAACAGCGGGCAGAGACACCCCCCTACACACACACGCTGCGCTACCATCTCATCGAGCACTGTGACCACATCTCGGACGAGGTGTCTATTCACGGTCATTCATGTCAGAGTTAGGATTTATAACATTTTAGATTTCAGACCCATTCTGACGACAGGGATTCAAACTTCATCCGTTTTAAAGAGTTAACCACATGATCCTGCGCCCAGGCCCAAAAAAACGTATAAAAAACTTGCGATAGTGTTTTTGATCACTATAGAAAGTATGCATGAGGCTTCCTTTCATTGTTGGATGCACTGTAATATATTCAATAAGGACTTAGAGCTTATTGTTGTTTCGTTTAACCAAAGTGACAACAGTGTGTGACTGAAGTGTGACATTCTTTTTACGTGACCTGCATTCAAAAATATGTCTTTAGTGGAAAAAAAAAGTAGATGAATGGCAGAAATAGCCACTTTTCTGCATCAGCATTTAAGAGTTCATTGATTATACCCAATCACATTGGTTAAAAATCCAAAAAAAGGCTTGATGTATTGTTAGTATTGGCTGTATTCTACTATTGTGTTCAACCAGTCACATTTGTCTATTCAATTAATTATTTAATAATTATGAATCATACCAAAATAATCAAACCATGCTGAAAAATGGGATTTGATGATGCATTGATCTTTTACTAAAGAGTAATCCAGTGAAATGAACGTGAGGTCAGAGATTTACAACCTTGGTGGATACTCCTGTGTGTATTTTGCAGTAATATTGATTATTTATTCATTCATTTAAATTGTAGATCAGTGTCACTACCTTAAGATTGTTTGAGGAGCTTTTGAAGAAGCCGGACAGAAACATCCTGACAAATCTGGTGCTGCGGAACCTGGAGAGCCGCTGCTATAGGCTGCCGGGTTCTGGGGAGGAGAGACCTGGAGCAGACCTTGATCTCCTGGAAGAGTCTGAGTGCGTAGAAAAACTATTAAAGCTTTAATAATTAATACTGTAAGTCAGGTGGTTATGGCATTAAATTATATGCTTTCTCTCATTTGTATGTGTCTCTCTCTCACTCAGGGAGCTGGAGGAGGATCCTTTCTTCACAGACAGTGAGTTCAGTGGCTCTGAGTCTCTGCTGTCTCTGTCCAGTCATCGGGACGAGAGGAAGTCTAATTCACGTACACAGATAGCCGAAACTGTTAACAGGTAAAGCAAGTACTGATTTTGCTTTCATATGTGTTGAACCCTCTAGTACAGTTTTACAATTCAGAACCGATATTTTGATTGTCAGATCCATACTATATTTTTTCCCATATTTTTTTTCCTTAGTCGTATGTAAATGGTTGGTGGCGCACTGTCAAATTACAGGTTTTGCTGATTTGATTTTGATTTTGAATGGGAGAAAATAAATAGAAGTGCCCTATATTGTGCCAGCATCTAAAAAACAAAAGCTGGCACATTTTCCTGGCTAAAATGTGGAATAAACTGTGAGGTTTAGATTGAAATCCTCAGCGATGTCAGAAAAATGATATCCAACCACTCCTTTCATCAAATCAAATCACGATTATTGTCACATCACGTTTACACAGTTGTGAAGGTGAGTGAACATCCCAGGTCAGGGGTCTTTAATTAAAATTCAGAAAGTTCTAGTTAGAGAAATTTTCCTCAAGCAAAGGTCCAGAACATCATAATGTCTAACTTGATTCAGTGCCATATACTGTTTACTGAAGTAGCCTAGTAGTTACATCAACATCTTATGTTGTCAACAACTGAATAGCAAATCAAATAAAGTACAATTTTACAGCTTTACTCTGACTCTGACTGCTGTTTCTCACCTCGTCCCTCCTCTGTGTGTGCGTCACTCACTTGAGTCTCAGTGCTCATCGTAGTGCACAGATCTGATTGGCTGAGTAGCGTCACGTGTGATATGTTGATATGATATGAAATGTTACGCCGATTAAAATAGGACCACCCCATCGAAATTAAATAATTCTCCAAAGTTTATCCGTTATAGGTTCAGGTCTGCATAGGACAGCGTCTGGGTCCGGACTCGGATCGCGGTCCGCCTATTAGTGACCTCTGTCCTAGGTGCATAGCCCCCTTGTAGTACTTAAATACAAAATAAACATAAAGTGTATAAAAAACACATTAGAGTCTAAATATACACATTAATATACACCAGTATTGCACTATTTTCATTTATATATAACGTATGTGTGTATGTGAATATATGCAGGTATAGATTAGCTGCAATGAAATCTACTGTTACAGTGTTTTTTTGTGATCTGCTCTTTTACAGTTTTCTCTGTTTGGTACCTCAAGAAGCAAAAACAACTCAACACGTGCAGGGAGCAGGATATGACACGTATGTCCATGATGCTCTTAAATCGGTAAGCAACGCCCCCGTCTCACTGCTAAACAGCAATGACACCAGTTGTTCCTAAACATACGTATGGACTTCTGGGACCATGGCTGTATCTAGCTATGAGGACACCAAGGTCCAGACCTCGGTAGTTTAGAAGGATTTTTACTCTTTCCACCATTCAAGAGGTTAAACGTAGAAAAGCTATTATGATGAAACAGTCTACTCAGGGCCGCAGCCACGGTATCCAGGCCCCCCAATCAAATGGGCACAGAATATTTATTATGCCACATTTCTGGGATGATGAAATTTGATTTGTTTTCTGTGAGTGTGGTCACTGTATTATGACCAATCAAAATCTGCTGTTATTTTCTAAACCCTCCAATTACTGCTTAGCAACCATTACTATCCGCATTTGCTTCAGTAATTATCCAGCGTTCGTAACTAGCGCTAAGACACTGAGAAGTTTCTGTAGGGTTTTATGAGATTCAAAGTGGAAGTAGTGATGAAAGTACACAGTGAACAGTGAGAGGTTCTCAGCTGACCTCAGCGCAGCTGTGGTTTGGCTCTAGTCTTAACTGCCCGCTCTGTTGGTCTCTGTACGAGATGCTGCGCTGCCCTGAGTGCCACAGTAACTTTGACCTCTTGAGATGTTCAGGTATGCAGCCCACATTCTAAACGCAAACATAAAACATCACAATGGTAAAAATGTAAGAGTTCATAAGAATAATTTACATATTAATGTAAATTTTTCCATATTAATGTAAAATGCAAGCTCCATTATTCATTTCTTTATTGGGAGAACTCGTTGCTGGCTAGATCAGCATGCTTTAGTCTAGTTCCAGTAGCTGCTCAGTTTAGGCTACAGGCTCTGTTGTGGGCTATATTAGTGATTAGATGAGAAATTAAAGCTGTATTTTGTTACCTACACATTACATACTACTGTTAACCAGCATATTGATGTTATAGTATCATCTAGCTAACTTTATTAATAAATCAACAAGTACATTAGGCTGTGTTTTGTCTGATCAACTGTATGAGTAGCTACCTTTCCCGTTAGCTGGGGTAACTAAATAACCACCAGTCACCAGCTTTACCCAGCCTCTTTACCCTTCTCTCTCTCTCCCTCTCTCTCCCTCTCTCTCTCTCTCCCTCTCTCCCCCTCTCTCCCCCTCTCTCTCTCTCTCTCCCTCTCTCTCCCTCTCTCTCCCTCTCTCCCCCTCTCTCTCTCCCTCTCTCTCTCTCCCTCCCTCCCTCCCTCTGTCTCTCCCTCCCTCCCTCTCTCCCTCCCTCCCTCTCTCTCTCTCCCTCCCTCCCTCCCTCTGTCTCTCCCTCCCTCCCTCCCTCTGCCTCTCCCTCCCTCCCTCTCTCCCTCCCTCCCTCTCTCTCTCTCCCTCCCTCTCTCCCTCTCCCTCCCTCTCTCCCTCCAGCTGAAAGAATGTACAGCCATGTCTTCGGAGTGGGGCTGGCCGGACTCCCCTAAACCACTTGATGTCCACTCCTCCAGTACAGACTTCTATGAAGGCCACTTCCTCAAAGTGCTGTTTGACAGGATAGCACGCATCCTGGAGCAGGTTAACCGTTTCACTGTTACTTATCCTAAAGAGATCATATCACATTTATCAAAATCGTATAAAATCCAGTCCGTGTCTGGAAAACTTCATCTCTGTTCCTCTGTGTCCGTGTCAGCCGTACGAGCTAAACCTGCAGGTGACGTCTGTCCTGTCCCGGCTGGCCGTGTTCCCTCACCCTCATCTCCACGAGTACCTGCTGGACCCCTACATCAGCCTGAGTCCTGGAGCCCGTTCACTCTTCTCTATGCTTGTCAGGGTGAGCATCAACACTAGGGCTGCAGTTATTATCGAGTCAGTAGGTCATGCATGATGTTGATTATGCAAGGCGTCGTAAAGAAAAAAAATACACTAATTCTGTTAAGATACATTCAGTTGTTCAAACAAATTGCAGCGCGCTACAAGAGGTTATATAGCTACTGTTGTTATTAATATATAGTATAATATAAAAAGAGACATTGTTTGTCACCATCATAGTCCAACCAATATATTTGTTGACTGATAATATCCTAGAAAATATTGTTGATAATATGCTGAAAAGAAAGGAATACAGGCTGACCTAGATTTGAACTACGATTTAAACACAACATACCGTTTATGGTTAAAATAACAAAAAAAAACATAAATGTTCAGCTTAACGTTTAGCATGAGGATAAGATGTAATAACACAACATTTTTAATGAAGTGATAAATGAGAAAATATATACAAGCTTACAGAAAACTAAAATGCAAAGAATTCTGGGTAACTCCACACCCAGTGCTACAACATTTATAGTATTCATGACTGTGAGTTTGTGCTGTTTAACTGTGGTGCTGTTATAGAATTTGTTTGTTGGTAAAGTACTTTTTTACCATTGGAGTATAAATATACTAAGTAAATATTTAGGAAAAACTAAAATTATAAATATTAATAAACTGCATTGGCCGATATTACTGGTTATCAGACTTTTTAGCCCCTTAAACCATTATTGGTATCAGGCACATTTTCATAGTGACCAGAAAATTCATAAAAGAATGAAGTGACAGTTCATTGGATGACATTTGAATGGCTTGAATAGCTTGTAACACAGAATGCTCTTTGTGTTTGTGTCAAAACAATGTTAACTTTGAATTGCTATTCAGATGCAGCTGGATTTTCAATGTATTTTATTTTTCAAGTTTTAAAGTGATAAACTAGATGTTGGTGGGTTCAGCTTTTAAACATATTAACCAAATGTCATCCTAATTTCCAGCTAATCAGTCACATGAAATCAAAAATCAATCAAGGTAATATTTATGTTGAAGTCTTCTGCTTAAACTGTAAATCTTGCTTAGAATAAACTGGAAAGAAAGTCCTAACATGACCAGCTTCAGCAAGGGGACACTGGCCTAACTAACCTACTGGCATACTGAGTGAATGAGAGAGTGTGGGAGGGCATGCATGTGTGAATGAGGGCGTGAGTGAATGAATGAGTGAACAAAGGTGTGCGTGACTGAGGGCATGCATGGAGGAATTAATGAGGGCGTGCGAAGGTGAGTGTTTGTGGGAGGGAGTGAGTGAGGGTGTCCGTGAATGAGGGCAGGAGTGTGAAAGGGAGTGAGTGAGGGCGTGTGTGAGTATGGGAGTGAGTGAGTGAGTGAGCGAGGGCGTGAATGAGTGAGGGCATGCATTTCAGGCTCATCCTTATGCCGAACATCATACCTCATTTTCCCTCTGACTGCAGGTGATAGGGGAGCTGATGCAGAGGATCCAGCATTTCCCCAACTTCACACAGAGACTCATCATGGTCAGGAGGCAGCTGATGGGCCTCGAGGCGGAGACCATGTAAGAGAAATTATCAATACGTTCTTTATCCAGTCATGTTAATGAGCGTGTTCTCAGACTCGTTTACGTTAAAGGAATAGTCTGGCATTTTTCAACCTAATCTCTGTCTGCTGAGTTGCCGATTACTGATTACAGACAACTTGGACACGTTTCTGAGTACTTGACTCAGGGCAAAATGAAAAATGTAACCATCACTGCATCCAGTTTGGCTTTCAGCTTCTTTTCTCTGTCTTAAAAAAACTTGTATCTGGTGTATACTTTGTGTTGAATAGAGGTAGAACCACTGTTTTCTTTACAGTTTTGTTCGATGACTGAGGTCATTAATGATAGCTTGGTTGTTTTTTTTAGCTTATAGATCTGTTGCTAAGCTAGCAAACCTCCAGGGTTTCTAATGCTGCCTTCAAGTCATCCTCAGAAGTTCCTACTTACGACTTTGGTACGACTTGATGTGTGTTCAGGTGGTTTTGGTTGGAAGTAAGATAGATACGCCGGAAATAATGTTTTTGGTTTACTTTTGTTTTTCTGTCATTGAAGAGAGTCAGTGTATTTTGCGTTACGACAACAAAGTGAAGTGCAGAAGATGCTTATGAGAAGAGTAATGCTTTTATGCAGTTAAATGCATCACATAACGTATTTGTATTTCCATGTGTGGATGGTTTTAGCCTGCAGTGTTCAGGTTGTGGCTCATGAATAACTGAAATACACTCAATTTATCAGCGGCTGTCGTACTTTTTTTTTGTTGACACATCCCCAACTCAGAAACTCTGGGCTCATTGTAAAATCTGAGTTTCCCACTAGTAAACACAACATTTACTAGTGCCCCGACAGCTTCCGGTGGTCCTGCTCCGTTTCATCTATAAAGGGTGTACAAATGAACCTTTACACTGTGACAAATGTAATTGCAGCAAAGGAAACAACTTATGTGTATATAAGAATCTATATCAGAGAATGTGCATAAATACAGATGAAATGAAGGCAGTGTACGGACAAAAGACTCCATCCAGATCCATATTTAACGTTATCCATATATAAATGAGCCTTAAGAGAACTTTTACACGAAAGTCACACCGTAACACCTAAATAAGGGATTTTTTCTTCTTTTTTGCAGGATGGATCACGCCAGCCTGTTAAGAGGAGTGATAGTGCTCGAAGAGTTCTGTAAGGAGCTTGCAGCTATAGCCTTCGTCAAACTCCCTGTGGGTGACCACGAACATCTCACTGCCTTCAGCCCTTAAATAAGGACAGTACCGAACCTTCAGTGTCTAAAGGACAGCATCAGTTAAGCAGTTGCCTCAGTTCACATCTGTTTGCACAGAGTGATGTGGTACTGGCGCTGTTTTGCAGGGTACAGTACACTGATGTTTGGAAAATGTCATTGGTACGCTCAGTATATTGCACATACGCATAGTTGGTCACGTGTTCGGTGTAGGGGTTAACTTCAGCTTTGACCTTGACCTTTATTAACAATGAAAACTATGAGACAGACACTACTACTATTAGTCAAATCAAGCCTCCGCTGATTTGGACGTTTATGATGAATGTTCCTCAGCTTCTGCAAAAGAGGGTCTTAAAGCAATAGTTCAGTCAAACAAGCGAATCTTGCAAGCAATAGATAAAAACACCCCAACGAAGCATTATGCGTGACATTATTTAATAATTGTCAGCTGTTAGATACATTAGCATGGTTTATACGTTTGTTTGGTTTATCTATGCCTTTTAAAGTCGTAAAGCTGTGTGATATTGTAAAGCAGTAATATAGCTTTACATCGGCCATGTGCTGTATGTTAGGGACAGATGTCACCGTCTCCTGACCTGCAGGTGTCTTTACAAAGCTGCTTATTTTACAGGCCTGTCCCGGTCAGTAAGCTGGTAGTCTTATTACATGATGACGATGATTTACTAGCTTATTGATCACGGCTGGACTAGTTAGAAGAAAGAGCTTTATGCCCTTGGTACCAGATACAAAATTACAGAGTTTAACATAAGATGAACTAAGTCTTTCAGTCTTAATCTAAAGCAGGGTGCTTAGACTCAAATATGAGAGGGCTACAGCGCTGCACAGGTTACTGTTTTCCTACAACAAAACTAGGGCTGCGTGATATGACTTTAAACGTGACGTTCGATAAAGCTGTCGAATATCACCATGATGATGATATGAGAAGCAATAACTGATTATTAAAATAGTGTGCCTCTGAATGTATGTGCCGCAAATACAGCCTATTACGCTGTGAAAACAGAAATCTAACAAACCTCTCCTTTAATCTGGGGTTATAGCAAGATAGCAAAAATGCACAGCACTGCTCTTACAGAGCATCAAAAGCTGTTTGCTAATGGCGCCCCCTTGTGGAGAATTTGGAGCCTGCGAAATGTGCGCGAGTTCCATGAGGTGCCTAAGTCTGAAAAAAGTCAGGATTTGTTCTGTTTCTGTTTGTGGTCTGTGTATACTTTTGTTTTTTATATAGGCATCCACAAAGAAAAAAAAATTTAACTGCTTAAAGAGGTCCTTATGATGATGCAGGTTTGTTGTAACAGTAGCCACTACTGCTTTGTATCGCTGCTGTCGGAACAGCTCGTATCTCCAAAATGGTAGCTTTACAGGAGAAGGACAAAACTTACTTTACTTTCAATGTAGGTCAATGGAACCAGACGTCTTTTCAAGTAATTTTGGGTCATTTCTTTCGGTCCATTCATAGTGAAATTTACACGCAACATAAAGGACAACAGGCATTTTCAGATTATGCCAAAAACTGAAAAACGATGAAAATGGAGATACGAGGTTTTGTTCTGGCAGCAGCGATATGTCTTACCATACAGTCAGTGCACCATACACTGAGAGTGAGAATAGTCATGACCTTGTGAACATGTTTACAAGTCAGTAGTTCAGGATAGAGTGGCTTTTGAGCATAGAGTTCAAACCCAGCACAGCGAAAAGCTTGTCCGGTGTCCAATGATACGATTCCACTAATCTTTTTTGCATCATTTTGTCGACACTCATAATTTGTTTTATCATTGCAGCCTTTACCGATGTGTTGAATGCATAAACTAGTATCGCAATAATAATAAAAATGATTCATCGTGCAGCCCTACTAAAAACAATAATGCAGTTTACACAAATCAAACGTGCATCATGAATAAAATATTTCAGTTTACTTACAGTTGGCTATAACTGTGTTAATATAATAAATTTCACCTGGAAATTATGTCCACATTTGAATCAAGTAAATTCAAATGCAATTGAACTATTTTCAGTGCATCAGTGGCTTGAATCGAGTGTTTCGGTCATTGAACTGTACAGTGCTGCGGCCCTCTAGGACTAGACAACTCTCATCTGAAAGCTCTAAAAAGGCCCTGAGCGTTTCTCGTTGCACGGCCAAATGCTCCCGTTCAGCTGAGCGTGTTTGGTGAAGCCCCATACTGACCCTCTCGGGTTTGAATAATGCAGTAAAGACTCTGAGCCATTGCACATCTCTCGTTTTACCTTTTTAACATGCTGATTAATTAGCCTTAGTGAGTTTCCCCAAAACATTATAGCACAAAGGTCATTGTTTAGACAAATGGGGCAGTTATCATTCTCCTGATTTTAAAATGATCAGAATGATGTTTGTGGGGAAACTGAAACCCTTTCCGTGCTTGTATTATTATTATTATTATTATTATTGTTGTTGTTGTTGTTGTTGTTATTTTTATTGTTGTTGTTGTTATTTCAGAGTTTAAAATATGTAAGCAAAAAGAGCTTTTTAAAATGTTATCTTTAATCTGTCAGCTTTCTGATGTGGTAATTTAAGTGTGGATATTAATCATGTCTATTTTAATTTCACAATGTCACATAGCTGAACCAAAAGTTGAGGGGTGTGCAATTATGTATTTCTGAGTGTTGAGGTGTGTGGTACGTGTTGACTTTTCTCTTTGACTCTTTGCTACTTTTCTCAATGAAGATTACTTTCTATGGAGAAGAGAGATCAGCAGGAGTGTGGTGTCTTAATTCTACATTCAATTTCCAGTGATGTTACTGAGCGTGTTTTCAGGTAGGCTTGGGCCCAATCCCATTTCTCCCCTCGCCCCTACCACTCAGCCCTTACGCCTCCGTTTTGCGCGTTCAGGTCTAGGGGTAGGGTGTCCTGATTTTTGTTGAGATAGAGGGGTAGGGTGAAGTGTTGGGGCTGCATGGTCTTCCAAACAGGTTTTTCAGAGTCACACTCCAAACTGAGTGTTATGAGAAAAAAAGATGCCAAGATGGCTAAACAAGCGACCAAAGAAACCCACAAACGTGAGAGTTTTTCTGTTAAAAAATTTCGATAATCATTGTTTTGTCTTGGTTTAATGTCGTTTCAATGGATTATGATGCCAGAATGTAACTGCTGCTCCATTTAAGGTGGAATGGGAAAATTCAAACTAGAAGCTGGTGAATATCTGACTTCAGCTTCATATCTCTAAAGAATTAGGGGTGGGTGATAATAAATAATTGCCCCTCTTTGAAGGCATATGATGCCCTAAATGTAACTAAAGCCCAGCAGTGAGGAGCTGAACTTTACCCTCCTCTGCTGTCACTGCAGACTGGCAGGGTCGCCTACAGAGCAGCGCTAGTAGCTGATAATGAAGTGATGCTCTTTTTATTTGAGGGTCCCATTTCACAGAGGAAGATTTCAACCACTACCCCTTGTAACTCAGTTCCAAGGGGGATGAAGACACTCGAAAACAAGGGTTAGGGGTAAAAATAAGAAATGGGACTGGGCCTTATACTCGGCCTAATCTGTCTGCTGCATCTCTAGTTTGCAGTAAATTACCAGAGAAAATTTTATGTTTCTCTGCACAAAGTGAAAGGACAGAAGACCTGTTGACACATAATAGAAGCCAATGAACAAATGATGAAACAGCATTGGCCTCTTGTGTGTTCGCCAACAGGTTTTCTGAACAACCAAAATTACTGTCTGGTAATCAGTCATACTCCACAGATGCAGCAGATATTAGGTTTCCTTTAAAGAAATCGGTCAGCGAAAAGCATTGACACCATTTTTGCTCATCTCAGAAGCAGTTGACCAACAAGATGTTTGTTGTCCAGATTTTGCTTCTTTAGTTTAGCAACAGCTGGAGCCACAAGGCCGATCTTGTAGACACTTAGGTCAATAGTCACCCAAATCTTTTCCATAAATACGTCCCCCAAACTTCTCTCAACCCGCTCAAGAGGAGTTGTGCCAAATTCTGGCTCCCCTGCCGAACCAGCTCTTCACGTGCACGTGCGACACATGTACATGTGGACTTTAGATCACCTTCATGATTTCTGTTTCTATGTTTAAACGTATTACTTTATAAATAGAAACAGAAACTGCAAATGTACTATGATGAATGAAAGATTTAGGTGACTATTGACTTCTACTGTGTGTTAGCAACGTTAGCCTGTGTTTTTCTTTCTATTATAATAAAAATAACAACATTAACATTGAAATCAGACTGGCACAGAAAGATGCAAAGTAAATGGAAAGTAAACTAGTTTATTATAAATCAGTACAGTAGGTGATGCTTTCTATACGGCACCTCTCTCTGTAAAACCAAGCATTCAAGAATGCATTCAATCAGAATCTGCTATCGTGCAGTAAAGCAAAAAATACTACTCATTCTTGAACATTTAGATGTTTTCTACCATGAACACATGAAGCGTTTTGCTCAGTAGTGGCTAAATTAATATTGCTGATCCCTTTGAATTCATTTAGTGCCTTATAAGTGCAGTATATTCAGTATAAACTCCATAGTTCTTCTCAAGTCAAGTATTAAGTTTGATGAATAGCTTTTGTAAAACTGAGTCTAAAGTACACGGGTCGCTTCAGAGGTAGCATGCTGCTCTGCAACAGTCATTTATAAAACCATTCAAAGAGCATTTCGACTTAAAAGCTGGATTCAAATGTAATCATCCAGTCACCGGTCCTTTAGTACAGTCCTTTAAGACCTAATTACGGCCAATCAGTAGAGGCTGTGCAGAGGCAGAAGTGATGCATCTTTTATCCTCTGCAATATGTTCATCTTAAGGCTCTGATTGGTCACTTCTTGCCATCTGTAACCCTCACTCTCCAAAGGCGGGGGGCTGTGAAGATCTACCAGACCCTCGTCTAAATACTCCAGCGTCACTAGTGTGTTGAAACAGAGCCCGTCCGTTTTGCCGTGAACTCTCCCGTTATGCTGCACGCCCAGGATCCCGCAGACCTTCACGTTTAGAGCGGAATAGGACGAGGCCATGCACTTCTTGACCAGACGCTGTCCTGCCCACGTGACCGTGTGCGTCACCGCCGCCACAGGAAGGCGAGGCAGCATCTCCGCATCAGCGTCAACAGTGTGGTCGCCTAGCAACAGCCACAGACGCTCCTCGTCACTGTTTTTAGGGTTAGTGAAGGCCAGCAGCAGTCTCTGACAGACCACTTCGCAGGGCAGGTCAACGGGCTGGCACACGGGGAACCACGGCTTCCGGCGATATTTGAGGCCGGCATCGATAAGGGTCAAGATGTCCTGGCAACGGAGAGGAAGAGGAGTCTCTCGATCCCACCACTGAGCCTGCAGGGACTCCGAGTCAGCCTCAGCTGTCGTCTTCAGATTCCCACCTGAGAGACACAAGAAGGTGAGACCACGTAGACAGAATCACAATAATGGTGAGCACTGCATCACCAAAAATCACATGTTCACAGTTTCCCCCTTATTTCAGCTCATCATCCAAGACAGGTTTGGTGTCTGAAGTTTTCGTCTTCAGTTTGCACTGGAGCTTCAAAGCTAATGTAGCTTATATATCCCACCAATTAGCATCGAACAAACTGTAGTCCTACATCATCACACACTTCCCGCAAACCACAGCAGGCTGTTATGTGATCTCAAGCCAAATGACGTCTTGTTGATTTCCCAAGACAAAATAAATGAACGTGATAAATGATCCTCTACAGAGAACACACTTCTGCACACTTTTACTCACAGGTATTGTTTATTTTGGGGGAAAAATGAAACAAAACATGGCCTGTGCAAAAGTAGTGACACACGTTCAACTTGGCAAATAAATAACAGAAATTGTGGACTAAAATTTGAAGAAAAATGCTGTATTTACGTGTTTATGCTGTAGAGCAGGGAACCACTTAAAGGGCCATATTAAAAAATCTCAACAAATTCTATGACCCAGAAAGCGTTAATATTTTAATACTCCAAAACATCAATATCAAAATATAGCCAGTTGTCACGAACCTTCAAATATTACATGTAAATACTTGATATATTTCAGCTACGTTAGCTACAGATAACTGTTAAATCACTATAAATGTCGCCAGGATGTAGGTCTTTAAACCTGCCCGTGTGCTGGTCTTGACACCTGGCATCTTTTCTTTCCGCAGCTTCACTAATTCTTGGGATCCGTTTCTGAGCTGCTGAGTGTTTATAGCGTTTATGTTGGTTGACTGTGTGTTTGGTGATATGATGTACAATGGGGTACAGAACTGCTGTCCCATAGATTGTTGTTGGGAGTGGGGATGCTGGGATTGTAGTACGGCTGATTTGTGAAATGGGCTAATATTAATAGAAAATCAAAATAATTTCGAGGGCCAATTTATCAATTTAAACCAATTATATGTAGCCTTTAAACATCAGCAACAGCCAGTGTATAGTAACCGTATAAACTACACGTTAACAAGTAGCTGATTCGATTCCATTCTTTATTTTATTCATTTATTTTTACAGATTTATTTGATTTTTTTTTTTCTCCCGTTCCTTCTTAAAATCATTGTGCTTACAGTATTTATAGCCTTTTTTACATATAGTCGTGCAAAAGTTTAGGCACCCCTGGTGAAATGACATTTTGTTGATTTTCTGAGTGTGAATAAGTTAACACATCCTCTACATTTCTGCAAATTTTAATGCACAATTATGATTTATTTGCTGGTTTTTAACATATTGGAGGAAAAAATAAAACAGAAACTGTGGCCTGTGCAAAAGCACATTTTGTTTTCTTTTTTCTTAAATGTGCCATAATTCCATATTTAAGTGTGTAAGGATGTGTTTTGCCTACAACTGTATGGCACTACTGTTTTGCAGGTGCGTTTGGTCCAGTGTGTTCACAGCCCTCAGACCAATTAAATATTGTGACGCGAGCCATGCATTATGAAAACTAAACGTATTTTGATGTTTTGTCTTTGCCACATCACCTAATCTTACTGTTACGGTAAAAATGGACAAAAATACATTGTACAGCTTCAAAAACTGTATCAACAGTAGCCTGAAATTTGGCAATAAATAAGTGACCATAAATACTTGTTTAAATAAGAGGAGCTTTGTGACCAATTTTCTGTAGACTGGGCTTCAGCACCCTACACAGTCCTTGGGCAAGACTCCTAACACTACAATCACCAACCTGTGTAAAATGATCAAACTGTAAGTCGCTCTGGATAAGAGTGTCTGCCAAATACCGTAAATGTAAAATGTGGAGGACTAATCCTCATCGCTGCTTACTGTAGCTGATGAAGGCCAGGTGACAAAGGATTACTCAAATCAAACTAGCTCGTAACAGGTTAATAACAAATGAATAACGCAGTAATAGTTCGCTTTGTGGCCGACTCATAATGAATAAAGTGCTCACGTCCAGCTGACTGATGAATGTTAATGTTCTGACCTGTAACCTCAGCGAGGAAGGTGAAGCGGATCCACCGCGGCCCCTGTTCCTGCACCAGCAGCAAAGTGACCAGCTCACAGTCCACTCCGGCCTCTTCTCTGACCTCCCTCTGCACAGCCTCCTGAATACTCTCCCCCAGCTCCATACGGCCTGCGGGGAGGTACCAGTGTCCGTAGCACTCCCTCTTCGCCTCCTGCACCATCAGCACCTCCTCCTACAACACATACAGACACAGAGCAAAGATACAGTTACATGTAAAAGGATACGAACCCTTGGGGATTAGCTGGATTTCTGCATTAATGTAAGACTGTATTTATTATTATGACTGTTATTATGAAAGAGACATTTTAGGATTAATTCATAGAAAAATTCTAACAATTCCAAAGGGAATTATTCAGATTTTACACAAGGTATAAACAGAACTGAATGAGATGTGAGTCTCATGACATGTTTGACTGCTGAGCAACAACAGGAGCGTCATTCAAACCTCGTCTGTCAGAAGTAGTACGACGGTGCAGTGGGCCTCGTGTAGACGAGGGCACATAAGAGTGAAAAGGGTTATTATACGCTAAGATGGGTGGTAACATTTACATAGTGTAGACGTTTTATTTACTGTCCAAAATGATCATGAACCTTTGCATGTCTTCTGAATTTTTACATATAATGTGGATTATAATAAATTAGTGGTAAATCTGGAAAAAACTAAAGTTTTAGGAACAATTGTGCCCTGCATGCATCTGCACCATAATGATGTTTATAGAAAAATAAATAAATAAATAAATTAGGTAAAAATCTTCTTAAAAAAACAGTCGAAAACAGTGTCTCAGGAATCATACAACGTATCCGTAACCATTACGTTATAACTTTCTTTGAGGAAGGTTTTAAAGGCATCGTGTTTTACACGTCTGGTTCCTATCACCACCACTGTGAACCATCATGAGTTCCTCTAGAACAGGGCATTTCACACCAAACCACTCTGAACGACTCTGTTTACATCTTAGCCGTTTAATTATGCAGAACGTTTGAAAAATAGGTGAAATTCCTCCTTAAGGAGTTTCTGATCTGCTGCTTCGGTTCTTCTCGAGTTCGTCTTTTTGGCACTTTGACTTTATTACTTTTAGTTATTACTTTATAGCAGTAACAATACTTGAGTATTGGTTTATGCTACTCTCACCCTTAAAAAAGATGGTTCTTCAAGGGTTCTTTAGTAAAGACAATGGTTCTAACACTCAAAGAACCATTTGCATGCTTAAATGGTTCTTTGCGTGGTGAAACTGTTCCTCTGATTGATGGAGAATGTGTTGTCTATGGTACCATTGTCTATAGTACCATTGTCAAGCTTGTAACATTTTTGGTGCTATCTAGAACCATTTTCATAAAGGTTATATACAGAACCATTGAAGAATCATCATTTTTAAATGTGTACCCACCTCTGCTGTTCCTTCAATGGTTCTTCTGACTGATGGAGAACTTGTTTCAAAATGGTTCTATATAGCATGATTGTCAAGCTTGTGACAACAGAAAAGCCTTTTTAGTGCTACCTAGAACCATTTTTATTAAAGGTCCTATACAGAACCATTGAAGAACCCCCGTTTCTAAATGTGTACCCACCTCTGATTGTAAATCAGAACAATGAGTGATACCTGAATACCCCTTGACCCCCTTGTAAAGCCCCCCACACTGCTGTTCCTTCAATGGTTCTTCCGATTGATAGAGAACCTTTTTCAAAATGGTTCTATATAGCACAATTGCCAAGCTTGTGACAACAGAAAAGCCTTTTTAGTGCTACCTAGAACCATTTTCATTAAAGGTTCTATACAGAACCATTGAAGAACCCCCGTTTCTAAATGTGTACCCACCTCTGATTGTAAATCAGAACAATGAGTGACACCTGAGTACCCCTTGACCCCCCAGTAAAGCCCCCCACACTGCTGTTCCAATGTCATTACCTTCGCATTAAAGATGACCGCGCTCACTATGTAGCACACAGTCTTCCTCAGGGCGACGGGCCTCAGCTGCTCGGGCACCGAATCGAAACCTGTGACCTCCAGTCCTTCTCCGTTCAGGATCTTCTCCACGGTTTCGTCCAGATCTTCAGAGCCCATATTGCTGGTAAGGACGCCAGCTTACAAACACCTACAACAAAATTAAGTTTTCTTAACAAGAGCTGGAACTACAAGGCTAAAGTCAGTTTCATGTCCGCCAGCTTCGTTTTCGAACTATTCCGTTCCACCTTAAATGGTGCAGCAGTCGCATTCTGGTGCCGAGTCGCCTGAGACTAACTGCTTCACTATTTAAGGTGGAACGGAAAAGTTCGAACACAAAGCTGACGAACGGGGAGCAGATTTCGGCCTCGTGTTTATACTAAGATAATGTCACAGCTAAGGCAGTTATACGTATGAAGTTTCTACAGAGTGACCATCGTAAACAAAAACAAAAACAAAAAAACAACACATTTACACACCAAAACATCAGACGAGTGACACTGCTGTAGGGAAACGCTGCTAGCTGCGCGGCGATTGGCTGATAGAGTTAGGGACTGGGGCAAAACTAGGCACTGCTGTCAAACAACGCACATAATTTATATTTTTTCTCACTAGATTATTCAAATTGTGGTTGAAGTCTCGCGGTATTGACAACTAGGGATAGTATTTTTTTTTCTTCTAATGAAATATTATTAGTCGGCCCTAAGAGCGGTCCACAACATTTAAGTGCGATTTTATGTTGACTACCCCCTACTTTCCCGCACAAACTCAGATGAAGCAGCCTAACTAGCTCCAAAGAGTCGTTTTTAACTTACCGCAGAATTGCTGTAGCTCTTGTGGAAGTGGGTATAAGGTGTTTTTAAACAGATTACAGTGGGTTAACATAACCAAAAGTGCTGGCCTAAAACTGCGTTAGAAAAGGAAGGGGTTGGGTTAAAGCATCGCCAGTGGGTCCGTCTCAAATCGACTTGTAGTTCCCTATTTACTGTCTGATCGGGCCTTAAAGGACCCTAGACGTACAGGAACACTAGAGCCGCGTCCAAAACCACATACTACTATACTAAACATACTACACTAATGAATGGGCCTCTGTTGGTGGCGTACTATTTTTGACATACCATTTAGTACGAGAGTATGTTTTGAATGCAGCCTAGGACTGTGTCCAAAACCACACACTACTGTACTATATTGTAGCATGTTAAAGAAATGTTTACATGTAGTTTTAGGTTGGGTGTTCTTCAGCAGTATTCACTGCTAAGGACTCTTATTATAGGAGGTAGGGCTAGGAGCTGCCCCTGAGTATGTATGAGCGAAATACAGTGGGAGATGTGAGCTTGGTAGTGAACAAGCTGTCAGAGAAAAGAAAACTACGTATGGCGCAGCTGTGGCTAACAGCTGGGGAAAAAGCACCACGACTTGTGAGGAAGCTGTGTCTCTTTTAAAGCGGTGAACGCTAAAACTGGTGTCAGAAGTGGGATTCGAACCCATGCCTCCACGAGACACAGCTTCCACACAAGTCATCCTAAAACATGTAAACATTTCATGAAGATACTGCACTACTATACTATACTATACTATACTATATGTATTGTACTAATAAATGCTACTAATGGTGATGTATGCTTAGTATGGTGGTATGTTGTTTTGAATGCAGCCTTGGACATTTTAGTGACATTTGGACACTTTGTGACATTTGGTATTTGGTACATTTTACATTCTTAAAGGAATAGTTTGCCCAAAAAAATCTTATTTACAGAATTTTAACCTTCCCTCAGCCAAGACATATTTGATGAGGTAACAAAGTAATTTTACGTGTATTATATAACAATATACAATAATAAACACTAAACTCACACATTGCATGACACAATAAAACACAGCCAACACATCTTAAGCTAACCATCGAACAAAACTAACAACAAAGACAACCTTAAAACCCCTGAAACTCAAGCGCTGCAAGACATTAAAACATTCAACATGATTAGGTGATTAGCAAAACCTTAACAGTGGCTTTCGTGTCACAGTGTTTTAGCACTGTAACAGAATGATGAGTGAGCAAGATTATAATGGGGTACTTTTCAGCTACTGTTTGATGAATACTGTGGTTTTGGATGCACTAACCCAGAAGTTGCTATAGGTGGGCCGAGGTCCGGGCCTGGAACCAGACACTGTGCTATCCTGGCCTGGACCTATAACCTATAAACTATTGAGAACGATTTAATTATTTTAAAACAGAGAGTTTCTGTTTTAATCGGCGTAACTTTTCTTGCCTTAGCAGCCCAAGAAACTCACAGACCAATCACACGCATTGTAAATATCACGTGATGCTACTCGGCCAATCAGCTCTCGTTTTTAAGAGCTTTTGAACTCCAATTATAGGAGTTTAAAATGGCGCCTTCATGACGTCAGTGAGCGCAAACAGCCAATGAGCTGCTCCGCTCGCCAACCAATCAGCACTCAGTATCAGTAATGTTAGCGTCCTGCTGCCCAAAACCCGTTTGCTGTAGAAAAAGGGAAACATACAGGTGAGATTTCTTAGCTTTTTTAGTGAAATACATCCTTCTACTTTCTAAAATGAAAGAAAAGTTCTGGATGTGTGATTAGAAACTATTTTAACTTTCCGTTTTTAGCCGTTTAGTTTCATTCACCCCCATTCATCAAGGACTTGCTTGCGGGCGCCATCTGGTGTTTTGGAGTCATGTTTTTGATATAATGGGGAGATAAGAAGAGGCTCCCCTTAAACCGGTTTGGTGACACAACACACACACACACACACACACAGGGGAGAGACGAGGTGAGAGACAACAGTAGAAGAAGAAAGTGATTCATTTATTGACTTCATAAGATGTTGATGGGTCATTCTACAGAAACATCCACTTTTCCATCTCTCCATAGGAGTCACTGGTGTTACTGATCCTCATTGGTGTTACACATAAGAAAGGTAACTCCAGAGACATTTTTAATGAAAAATGCATTTTACCAAATCGCTGCTACAGAGCATCAAACCACATGTTGTCAGTCATGGAATCTCCACTAAAATATGTCATTCAATCCATTCGTGTTTTATTTTTTCACAATTACCTCAGAATAAAGTCGGTCACACCAGTGACGTCAGCTAAAAGCTTCATATGAAATCATGAGCTAAATGAAATCTCTGATAACTGAAAGACTCAGTGGACTCACCATGCGCTTTTCTTCATAGAGCCTCAGAAAATAGGTAAAAGGAAGTCAAGTGATGTCATTGGTGTGACTTTTATTTTAAAATAGATTTTTTGTCACACGGTAACACCAGTAAAATGACTCTTGGGGACAACAACTTTCATTATATATATTATAATATTTTATTATATTTATTGTAGTAAAAATAGCAGAAAAATGTGTTTTTTTTGTTCAAAATATGGCCTCAGCCTTCACACATGACTGTGAGGACGAGCTCTTCTGTGGTGCTTGGAATTCTAGATAATTGATTTAAAAACCAATATTGCTAAATTGAGGCTGAAGAAGGTCTAATTATTAAAACAACTTATTGTTTTATTTAAAATATAAATAAATTGTAACCCAAACATGTTTTTGAAATGTAATATATCTCTAAACACTAGGGACACCAAAATGGACGTTTCTGTAGAATGACCCTGATATAACTATTAGTTTACTTCAATATATCTTATATGGCCCTGAATCATAAGGCAAGTTAGACATTATGATGCTCCGGACCTTTGCTTGGGGAACTTTTCTTTAACTGGACCTTATTCAATTTGAATTAATTAATAATTAATTAATAAATAAATACCCCTGCTCTAACCGCCCTGGAACACTTATTTTGGCGTGCTGTCTAGGGAGTAGGGCGTAGGGGGTAGGGAGCATTGTGGAATGAGACGCGCCCCGTGTCGCCCTCTGTAGTCAGGCTGGGCTTGATTGGGAATTCACGTCCGACTCTCCCGAGTCTCGAAGCTTTCAGCCGGGTAAGCCAACAAGCAGCACCATTTCTGAGAGGATTACCTTGGAAATATTCGTGTTGATGGGCGAACGTGGCTCCGTCGCCAGGCTCTTATGCGGGGAGGCAGAGCCGAGGGAGAAGTGAGCGGGTAGCCGGGGCTTAGGGGTCATTCCGTAAGAGCGTTATGTGGAGTGAAGCGGGCTCAGTGCCATTGCTCAGAAGACAACGCCTGGATAAAGAAAAGGAAACAGAAATTTGACTGTTAAAACACTTCCTCGGCGATTTTTTCGGCAGAAACGATGGCTGTTACAGGACCTTCTCGTCGCTTTCAAACTGTCTGTGTCCTGTTTCTGCTCTGCCAGCTCTCGGACTGCAGTGGAGGTGAGTAAACAGTGCTAAGCTACGATGTTTCACCACAATAATAAACCTCTACGGAAAAACACCGAGGCCAGTTTTACTGTAAGGTTAGTGCCATTCGGTAAAACATGCTCAGAAATTGGTCTAAAATGCCTGAAAATACACGATTTGTACTTTTATTAGCCTAGACTGTCCGTGGTTGGTCATAATCCAGCCACTTTTCATACTATAAAATAAGCTTTAAAGGGGAATTCCACCGATTTTTCAAAATTTTGGCTTAAACAGAGTCATTCAGAGTGGTTTTATGTGAAGTTGTTCATTTGTAAGGAAACGTACAGACTTAAATGTCTTCACAGTGGTGGTGATAGGAACCAGGAGTCGTTTTATTTACTATCCAAAGCCACCAGTGAACCTACACGTGTCTTCTGAGCTTTGGTATGTAATGTTGATGATGGTAAAATAGTGGAGAATCTGAAAAAATAAATTTTCTATGGGGACTATTTGCCTCATAGCACCCTTTCTGTATCCTTCGACCATGACTGGGTTAAAATAAACGGATGAAAATACGTTTTAGACCAAAACTTTAGACAAAACTACTGTAAAACAGTGTCTCAGTCATCAGGCAGTGAATTCATAACCATTTCATGTTATAAGCTACTGTGAGGGAGCTTTTAGAGGTGGACGTCTGGTTCCTATGACCACCACTGTGAACAATTCTGGCTTGATAAGTTTCTCTGGAACTGAGAATTTCACCCCAGACCACCCTGAATGACTTTTTTTTTTACATCCCAATGATGTACTTATGTAGAAATTTTGAAAAATAGGTGGAGTTCCCCTTTAAGACTGCAGTTGTGGCCTCAATAAGCACTTTTTTTTCTGAAAAAAGGTGATTTTCACACTGATAAAAAGTTTGTAGGGTTATGGGCTGAGTAACACTCATTTTGCAGCTTAATTTGTATTTATATTTTGCATTTATTTACCAAGAGCAGCTTATCTTACACTACAGTATAGTAAGTAAGTCCACATACGAACCTTCACTTGGTCTGACTGTTGGAATAGTACATGTTTAAGAAGCTTAAGGTGCTCTGTAAAAGCTTATTTGGGATAATGCCAAGTGTCTGCACGGTTAGATGGCACTTTAGGCTAAGGAAACACGTCCTTTGGATCGACTGATGTGAGTTTGTCGGAAGATCAGCCTCCGGCGTTAGTGGACTAATTGGACATCACTACGTTTCTGGTGTTTTCTGTACTTGTTCTGATGTCCGGTCGCGTTAATAAGGGTGTTTTTTTCTCCAAAAGACAGCACTTGTCCTTGGGGGGGCACTTGTGTGAGCGTTTTGGTTATCATAGATCAGTGTTTTCATTCGTAGAAGTCGTGGACCATATAAAGGCTGAGCAGAGCAGCCCAACAGTGGTTCCAGCAAAAGTGCCGGTGAAACGACTCGAGTAAATGTGAAAGTAGCTGTGTTCTGTGTAAAGGTTTTTTCACATTAAAACTGAAAAAAGTTCTGTGTAAAACTGCATTTAAAACTTCTTAGTACATTCCACATCTCTCAGTCTAGGAACTGAGGTTTGTTAGGCTCTGTTTTTCTCGTGTTGGATCTTTTTGGTCTAAAAAACAGACTCGAAAAAAGATTAATCTGATTTCAAAGCGCCATATTCTGAAGCACCCAGTAAATGAGGTTCATTACAGTTAACGTAGGTGTTTATCTTTCAGTACTGCATCTACGATGTATCATCCAGCATGTCTGACACAGTGACCACTGTATGTCAACCTTAAATTGTCATTAAACAGTTCTGATCGTGTGGTTCGGTCGGCAGGGTGTCTCGATCATCTCCACATGTAAATCCGTTACCAGTGAGTGAGACGTCCTGGAACAGTTTACGCACAGAATTTGCTCATTTTTGCTCAAAACACAAAATGTATTGTTAATTTTAATTGTTATTATTTTGGTAGATCTGCGCTGCAATTTTAAAAGGTAAATAAGGTGAGGCAGGTAAAGTGACCCCACACTGCATTTGAATGCGGCTGCTACACCTGAACCAAAATGTCGTAGCATAATTATGCATGACTGATAAATAGCCAGCCATCTCTTACTTTCAGTGTAGCACTTTATTTGATTCATGTTATTTAAAAAGGCAGCTGATTTAACTGTGAAACATTTGGAATGTCAGTTTGGCCCATCGAAGAGCAAATAATGTTGTTTTCATTGCAGATTTGGCTGATAGAAATGTCTGGAGATGATTAAGTGTGTTTCTTGTGTTCATTTAGCTCACATAATGTGAGCACTGGATTTATAAACAGGCTAATAAAAATCAGCCATCAGCCAATTTGGCTGTTCAGAAATCGGCTATAATAGTTCGTAAGCAGTGCATCCCTAAATATCTGGGCCAGTGTATGAAGTACACTGCTAATTCACTCCCATAGTGGTGCTGAAGATAGATTCAGTGGCATGAAAATGTTCAGTTTAAGAATTCTTCCTCTGGCAATGCTCTTTTCTAGTTTGGTAATATGCTCTTCCACACATTAATAGAGATTACGCAGCTCCTCTTCTGTCTCCGGCTTGAGAAATCAGTAGCCATTCACTCTTTCAGCCAAACTCTTGTGAAATTGGGCAAGATTTCAGATTTACAAATACGGCATGCGATGTTTTTAGTTGTTTCAGGGGTATCCGGGCATTATTAAAGTTGCTATGCTATGAAGGACCAACTGGGTGGACCAGTTTCCTACAGCGCCACCCTGAGGCAGAGCAGTGCTGCAGCTCTAGTTAGTTAAGAATATCAAAGACAGAAGCTTTTTTTTGTGGGTGAAGCAGATAAACAGTGACCCTTCACTGAATTTCTATTTGAGCGTCTTGTTTACCCAGCATAACGTCATAATATGTTTCAGGGACCCCCCAGAATTTTGATTTTTGAGACATCCAGGGAGTCCGAGAGACCCCCAGGACCCCCTGTGTTTCACGCCTTGATCTAGACATTTGATTAGATTCTCCTCTAATGGCATTACCGAGCTAGATAGCACTTTATCTGGCCAGCCTACTGTAAATACCTTATCTTACATTTAATGATCTATTGGATTTACTTTAATTTACTCCAACTGTAAACCTAAACCTAAACCCAAGCCTAATCCTGGTACTAATCCTAACCCTGCAGCTGCTGAGACTTTCAACAGATAGTTTTTTTGTTAGATTTAGCATTTATACATAATCTATTGGAGGAATATAATAAAGTGGGACCTCAAGTCACAAATAAAGGTTAAGCCAGTTTTTAAATAAGGAAATTGTTCCACTTTCACTCGTACTGCCAGAATCTCTCTGGTCCAGATGTCTGTGCTTCCTCTGTTTGGTTGTGGTGCTGCGGTTTACAGATTGCCATGCAAAGTGACTTTCAGAAGCTGGAAATGAGTTCTCTTCAGCACGGTGTTATCAGTTTATCGTCGTTCTCTTTATCTCTGCTCAGTCGGCCCACCTCACGCACTCGACGCAACATACGAGAGTTATAAAACTCCGTGAGTGCCGATGGGGGGAGGTGGGGTGTTATTTGAATATTTTCTCATTTAAAATCGTCATAGCTTTTGTTTATTTTACGTATAATTTTACTTGTATTTTGCTTTACTTGTTTACTATTCTAGGATTTGAATAAGGCTTCAGATAAGCGAACGCTGAACCTCCCATGGACTTGGCTAAAGTGAAGATTTAGGTCATGAAAATGACCACAAGGAAAACAAGTGATGCTTTGCATGAGTGACAACATTGTTTATTCATAAAAATATAAAATATTTTCTTTGTGGAATTTGTTCAAAAGGGGCCAAATTGGATGTTGTTAAAATAGAGTTAATACAGGGTGATCCAAAAAGATTCACTGGCATTTCAAAATGATTTATTTGCCTTGTAAATCGTTACAGATCAATGCAGTAAACTGTAAATGGTTTAAATGAGCATAAAGTTTATTATGTGATTGTACAAGTGCTCAATATGAACCTCCTCCAGCTGTACAGACAACATCAACACCATAGTCTAATTCATCCTGTACTCGACTGAGCATGTCGGGTATCACTGCACTCACGGCTCTTTCAGTGCGATTTCGGAGATCATCCAGTGTTGTGGAACCAACGACGAACGCTCTGAGCTGTTGAAGCTTCACTGCCCATGAAAATCACACTGCACTGTTATGACGGATTCACTCTTATTGAAGTGAACGCAGAACGCTTTCTGCTCAGGGGTCTCCATCTCCTCTCAGACTGTAGGGAGCCATCTTCCGGTGACAGTCAGAAACTCTATGACTCCCTCTTTCAATTGGATTGTGATTGGTTCCTAGACGCCTCACGGTTTAAAAATATGGCGCTTTGAAATCGGATTAATCTTTTTGAATCACGCTGTATATCTGGACGCCCATCGGTATACTTTTGTAAATAAGCACATAATCTTAATGACTTGTCTGGTTAAATTAAAGGTTAAACAAACAAACAAATATGGTAATAAGCATATTTCACATATAATCTGTTGTATTAAAGCTGTAAAGTTAACAGAACTTGCCGTCAGCTACCATTGCCAGAGACTGCATCGTCCTCATGCTTGGAAACGCTACACAAATCCTGATTGTAATTGCAGGATTAATGTGTAATATCACAGACTGTGGCCACTTCTCTGAGGGAAAGCGTGGGTAACAAGCCACAAAATCAATATTCCTGTTACACCGTGGGGATAAAGGGGCATATTGTTTTCCTGTCCACTCTAATCCCTCATAGGCTGAGGGATGTTTTAATGCCGCTGATGCATTTCCATAACATCCGGTTCCCTCTCTGTACAGTAAATTACGTCGTGATGATGCACGCAGGGCACTTTTTCGCTCTTTGCTGCTTCCTTTATCCGTTTTCTCCCAAAGTGACGGGACGTGGCTGCTTTGTCACTTATATTTAGCCTTAAAATGGTCAGGCACTGTGGTCCTTTACACAAACCGAGCTCCCCTAAAGAGGAATTCCACATATTTCTCAAAATATCAGCATAATTTAATAGTTGAAATGT